TGCCTCCTTCGAGGGCTTTAACAATCACGATACTAATTTAGTTAGATAATCAATTACACCAAAAAAGGGTAAGATTATAAAATTAAATTGTTACATCGGGCATTTTTACTTAATGAATGGGCTATGACTTCATTAGTAAAGTTTTTAGAATGTCCCTTATCGTTATGTCAAGAAATTGATCTACATCCGATATAAAACACAATTTCGATAATAATACCCCTTTTTTTGTTTATCTTAATATAAAACAGCTTTGCTATATGTAAAATTTCATGCTACGCACTTGTACTTAGAAGTATACAGCTGCTTGTTATTTACATTTACAGTTTTTTTAACGTTAGGGTTAGCGTTTGTTTACGTTACACGAAGATCTTCAAAATTCTGCAATTAATATCATGAAATTTGACGTTTCAGCCAATCATTTGCTCCAACAGAACAAATTTTGTGATATTTATCATCGCATGATCCAATATCGATGTTATCGTGCAATTATAATGATTTGCGAGTCGTGGTTGGCTAACTGAGTTTTAATTTGAGATTGATGTGCTTACGTAATAACGTACAAAAAATAACAAGAAAAAAATCTATGATCATAAGAGTTTGCACGATAACATAAGGATACTCGGTTTTTAGTGATGGACAAAATCAATCAATCCGACCCGGAATGTTGGTGATCCCCCTGAGTTATTGACGATCACGCCATTCGTGTCGAGCAAAGAGTATTACATATTAGCAAAGAAAAATAATGAAGGTTTATGCAAAGGAAAAATTTTAACAAAATTTTCGCAATAGATAGTCCAAAATTTGTAACGTTTTTTTTAAATCCAGATTAATGGGATTGAACATTAAGATAAATTAGTAAGAGAAAAAGGGTGTTTATTCACAAAACAAAAATTTTGTTATGTTTTCTGTGTAATAGTAACGGAGCGTTAGAGGTTACATATTCAACCGTTTTGACCCGAGCTGTAAATTTTTGACTCGGTTGAACCGTTTTGACACGGTTTACTATAACCCGGTTCTAAACTCTAGTTCAAAACTATCAGAATAAAAACCAACTATCGCATTCAGAATTATCATATCACATTTGGCTTAACATTTTATTAAGTTCTTATCATTATAATATGAATTTAAGTAAAAATCACAAAAAAAAAAAAAAAAAAAGAGAATTAGTTCGTATACTGTAATTAAAATGTAATAAATAATAACAGAAACAAATAAATAAAATACTTAGATTTTAAAAATGATGAATTAAAAAAGTTACCCAGTCAAAACAAACCGTGGGAACTATTTAAATGCATCATATACCGAGTTATTTGATAGTTCCGATCATAGTTGGGTATCGGATAATAATACATACACTATAGTTCTTCGTTTATCTAAACTATCTATAGACATTATCTCAATATTAATTATGATCCAGCTTCATTTGTTATCGATTCTAGATAAGCCATCAGTTATATATCCATGCGAAACACGCAGTGACAAAAATAAATTAACGATAACATTATCTTAAGGTTAACTATTTTGCCTTTGTTCGAACCTGAATAAAAGCAAAACCTCGCATAAAGTTTATGAAATAAATATATTGCATTTCAATGAATTGGTTTCTGGGCTTGCAAAATTATCGATCGACTCCAATGTTTGAACATACCTTAACCATTGGTATTTCTTAACATATAATAGAAATGGTGCTGTGCAGTTGACGAAGTAGGTATTATTTTTGGCTTTGTTTGTGATTATTATACTAATACTAAATCATAAAAAGTTTCTCATAAGTTCATTGCTTGGAACATTCCCGTGTAAGACCTGCAACCCCACTGCATAAATGCCACTCTGAATCCCAGATTCAGGCGTTGTTGCGTGACAACTACCAGTAAACAAGTGTGGGAAGAGGTTCCTCTCCGCCGAGCTGCCGAACCCCACCGCAAACTGCCACTCTGAATACTGGCACTTTATTGCTTCCAGTTTCAGTCTTTGTTGCGTGACAACTTACGGTTGACAGATTAGAGA